AGCCGCGGAGCATTGACACAGAGTACCGGAGGAGAGAGAAAGGGGAGGACAGAGAAGGAGGGGCTGAGGAGAGAGAAGAAAAAGTGTGGAAGGAGGAGATTGAAGAAGAAGACAGACATAGACGGGGGTGAACAAAAAAAAAAAACAAAAAAAACACAGCGAAAGAGAAGAAGAAAGAAAGTGAAGGAAGGGGAAGTAGACGGCGAGGGTGACGAAGGTGAAGGTGCTGGCAGCCATAGCCGAGGTGAGGAGTTGACCGGGCATTGACCAGACCGTTGACCAGAGGGTTGACCAATGGTTGACCAGAGGGTTGACCGGGCGTTGACCAAGGTGGTTGACCAAGCGTTGACTGGGGGTTGTCCGCGTTGGCTCAGCGTTGACCAAGGCGTTGACTGGAGCTGCTGACCAAGATTTTGACCAAGCTGGAGTTGGTGATATCTACCCTGTGGATGTGCACTCACCCTACGGTACTTGCTGAGTTTGAGTCTGTCTGTCTTTCCTTTCTGCATTGAGTCTCTTTTGTCCTAGGTGTTAGGACTCTATGGATGAAGGATAGGGCCTTGCTGCCAAACCTGCAAGGATAGGACCAAAGCTCTACGTTGGGCACTTGGAGACCTGGGCATGAGCGGCAAGCGCTCGTTAAACAACTCGTCTAGCCCAATGACCGGTACTGTCCGGCAGGTCTACTGAGTTCAGTGTAGAGGGTTTGAACTCCGAGCGGTAGGCTGAAACGAAGGCCGTCTTTAAGTGTTGAGGCCTGGTTGAGCCACTCCCCTACCGGACCTACTACAGTTGATGATCTGTGTTTGACGACTCGACTGTCCCGAGGAATACGAACCCCTCCAAGGACCGGTACAGACTGGCGGGCTGCTCGGTGTGGCACAGTAGGCTGGAACGGCTGAGTTGTGGGCTGAAATCGCCAGGAAGAACCAAGGTGATCACGTCGTCCTGTCTGCGACGTTAAAGAATTCTTGAGGAGTTACGGGGGATCTCCTTAAATTCCTCCAGATCAGCTTTTGGTTCAGTAGTGACAGCCTTAGAATAGTCTTGGGTTAGTGACCATAGTTGACAGGGTCTTACCCTGTGGTCCTTAGGAAGTCGGTCAGTAGGTTTGTGTCCGGGTAGGTCCAAGTGTTGAGGAGTGGGACCTTTGTCGTGCACCTGACACCACCATGGTAGACACCCGGCGCGGCACCTCCACTATGCCGTACACAAAGGAGGAGGAGGCGAAGATGGCCGCCATCCTGCAGGAGAGGAAGGAGGAGGAGGCCAAGAAGATGGCCCTGCAGGAGGAGCAGGCGGCAAAGTTGAGAAAGATAGAGGAGGAGATGGCCAGGGAGAAGGAAAGATTGAAAAAGGAAGAAGAGCAGAAGCTGAAGGAGGTGGAAGAAGAAGAGGAGGAAGATGATCAGCCACTGGAGAGGAGAAGAGAACAGCGAGGGCAGTACAGTGGCAGCAAAGATGATGAAATGGAGAAGCGGATCTCAGAGTGGGTCGCCAACTTGTCCCTGGGAGAAGAAGAAGAGGTAGCCATGTAAATCCCCAAGGACGAGCAGGAAGCCGCTATGAAGGAGTGGGAAGCAGAAAGGGATGTTGTGAGGCGGCATGCAATGGAGGATGAAAAAAAGGATGGAGTGGAAGTTGAGAGTGATGAGGGAAAAAAAGAGGAAAGTGGACGCGGCGATTGACGCGGTCAAGGACCTAGGGGATGCAGCAACTAACCCTGAAGTTGACCCCGCAAGTAGACCTTGAGAAAAAGGTAGAACTCATTGTCTACATTGTCGAGCGCTTAGCTCGGATACAAAAACAACAGTACGATTTTAGTCGAAGTCAGGACATGGCTGTGCGCTCCATACGAATGGGGTTTCGGGACTTTGCTCGCGAATTGGTAGGCGCGATAGGATCCGAGGTGAATCATCGCCTCGAGAACACTCAACGATTTTGCGTTGGCGCCATTGAGGGCGTCCAGGCGGCAGCTCCCAAGGAAGAGGAACCACTCCCGCCGCGTAGAGAGCCAGTCAAGGTCAAATTCCCTGATTCCTACAGTGGGAAGAAGGAAGAGAACTTTGATAACTGGGAGGCCAACGTTAAGACCTACGCGCATCTGCAACAGGTCTCCCCGGATCAGCAAGTCCTGATTGCGATCCACGCACTCAGAGATGAGGCCGCCAGCTTCGCAAGATCCCTTGTTCGTGCTGCCAACTGCAGTGACGACCCAGTTGCCTATTCGGCATTCACTTCCCTCACTGAGTTCATGAGATTGCTGCGCGAGCGATTTGCAGATGTCGCTCGAAGTGTCAAGGCCTCAGATAGGCTCCAGACAATCCACGCTCGTAAGTGGAAGAGTGCCAGGGCACTCAAGAGCACGATGGATGAATTAATCGTTGTTCCTGACCATGGGGTCACAGACACCCAATTGGTCGGCCTCTTCTACTGGGCTATCCCCAAAGCCTTGCGAGGGCATTTCTTCGCGAAGAGCGAAGATCCGGCCACTACGTATGATTCTCTTAGTAGTGAAGTGGTGGCCTTTGAAGCCAAGTCAGCATATGTGTCTACCTTCTAGCGCAAAGGCTTGGACAAGGGGAAGCAATGGAAGGGACGCACTATCTCTGGGCAAGTGAAGACTAAGGATAGCCTTGTCCTAACTCTAGACGAGGGTAGTGTGGATGAGATCCCCTACGATCAGATTGAGTGGGGGTTAGAGGAGGATRACAGCGGTGTGGGCCAGGGGAGGACTTACGCTGCTGTCGCGGCTGGAGGGAGGCCGCAAGGAGGWCGAGGCCAGGGCCAAGGGGGCCGGGCCTCAGGGAGCCGGTTCCAAGGCRATYAGGGGGTTGGYKGTAGAGGAGGAAACCGCCAAGCGGGAGGCAGGGGTCAAGGTCCCCCGCAAAACCGTCCTAGGAATAGGTCACCCTATAGAGTAGGAGGATGGCACCCAGGGCTGCCGCAGGGCAGGCCTTGGGAATCGTTGGGTCTGGACCAGACTTTATGGCAACAACGATTGGACCGGGGCCAGTGCATTTTTTGCGGTGACCCGGGCCACATCATCAAATACTGTCCTAAGTATCGCGAGACCCGAACGGCTGCCCAAGGGCCAAAAGGCAGCCGCCGGTAGGGGTAGCAACTGCCCCTACCACTAGGCCATGTGGGAATCATAGCGCTAGCCGGCAGGAGACTCCCACACCACATGTGCCTATGGCAATGGTTGCAGGCCGGTGTCTAGATAGCTGCCCAGAGACTGCTTGTGTTAGAGTCTCTCTAGACACCTCCCTCACAGGCGTGGCCGAAGAATTGAAGGAGAGGAGGGCCGCCTGGGCCAAGATGAAGAAGGAGAAAAGGGCAGCTGATTTTATTAGATGCAGAGATTTTTAGGAGTAGGGGCCCTAGTAGACTCAGGGGCCACTCGCAGCTATATTAGTAGGAAAGCGCTGCAGAAGTTGAGGCTGGGACTTAAAGTCCAGAAACTGACAGACCCCATAGTTAGTATCCTCGCGGACAATCGTACCATGGTTGTAGAGGATTACGTAGAGGGAGTCCAGGCGTATTTCCGCCTAGAGAAAGCTGGGAAGGTGGAGAAGGTCCTCCACTCCCTGACTGTCCTCGTAGAGGACAGCCTCCCGTTTGGTATTGTCCTCGGAATGGATTGGGGAGAGGCAGCTGGGGCCACGCTCCATTTGAAGGAGCACGAGTGTAGGCTCCCTAGTGCTGCAGGCGAGGCTAAGACTGCCCGCCTGTTCCATGCGTC